GCTATTCCTCGACAGTCAACCAACAATCTTCAAATGACGATTCTTGGATAACTGATACTGAAGACGGAACAAGTTTCTACAATTTGTAGACTTTATGAATGACACAAGACTATAAATGATACATTCATGATTATTTTAACTATTGCTCAATTCTGTTTTCTCATCAACCGCCATGAAGTTCATTGGCGTTTTGTTTCCATTTCATCCTTCGAGTTAGTTCCAGTTTGTGTCTTGAGACGTTTCCGTTCTGGTGTTTGTCCAGCCATATTCTTAGTGCTGCTGTAATCACAATGTTCATTTGAGCAATCTAGACAGCATCTAGATATAAGCCTTGTAATAATTCATGTTCTCTTATGAATAAAGGATTTTTAGATTTAGTGCACATTTCACTTTTTCCGAAAAGAAGAAAAAGCATGGTTTTCACCCTCTTTTACCAGCTTTGTATAATTACTGAAAGCTCTCGTAATTATCCTTACAGCTTTGAGGATAATGCTGTTGAAACCATGACTTTTCATTCGCCTATAATGTCAAATGTTTGCGTATCTTACCGTTTCGAAAATCATGATCCTGGTTTTGAGGCTATCGAAAGTGTGTATTATAGCTAATGCAAAACGTCATGTCAAATTGTTCTCTGAGGTTATGGTCAATGTGTTGTAATATTGTATTGATGTGTTGACATAAAAGAAAGGATTGCTTACATCTTCACAAAATACTTTAATTTGAATTTTGAAACACGTGTACAAGTGTAAATGTTTACAATAATCACCAATATGAACTATATACATGGTTTACTCAAAGTAAATGTCTTCACAAATGAATAATGTCTTTAAAACACATCGTTGCAGAAAGCCAGCGCGATTTCATCATGCAGAGCTTTCGCACATTAAATCCCTTCGTCGCCCCCATCCTGTACATCCAGTTGGTAGTCATTTTCTTCTTTGGCGTCCCAATCTTCCCTGTAGAGGTCACGTACACTCTCGCAAATGTTGTGGAGGACAACACAGCATGTAATTACCGTGCAGGCAAATTCGACGTCAACGTCCAGCCTCTTCTGCAAATACCGCCAGCGTCCCTTCGCGACCAAACGCGGCGTTTTCAATCGTCATCCTGGCTCGGCCGAAGTCGATAGTTGAAGGTACTCTGAGCTGGAGTGAGGTTAGCTCTGCCAGTGTAGGGCTTCAATAACCATGACTTTAAGGGGTACGCTGCATCACCAAGGAGCACCAAGGGCATCTGTGTATTTCTGATGTTCTTCAACCAGTTTGGTAAGAGAGAACCATCATCACCAAGGAAATAAATGTCTGAGTTCACAAAGACACGGCGTCATGCACTCTGCCTGGCCAGCCAATATTGATGTTTGTAAACATCTGGTTGTGGTCACATACCCCTTGAAGGATAAGAGAATAGAAACCTTTCCTGTTCAGGTAGTCACCCGTGTGAATATTTAGGAGCTATGATAGGGATGTGACTGCCATCTATAGATCCTACACAGTTTGGAAATCCCCAAGCGCTCCTCATAGCCCCTGATAACATCCTTCAATGCGTCTCCTGGGGAACCTGGCGTATTCAGTCAGGAGAAGTTTCATGATGGCTTCACACACTTGATGGACGCCTTGATATATACGGGTTGCCTTCCGACACCAAAAGGTTGGCCACAGTTCTATATTCTGCGGGAGGAAGCCATCCAATAGATTGTTATAACAACCTTTTTCTTCACATCCAATGGTTCCTCAACCGTATTTTCAGAGGGAGAGAGCTCATCGTTTAGTCGAGTGCAGATCAATTCATACGTTTCTCTTCGCATTCTAAAATTTTCTAACCATTCGGCATCAGTGAAATGTTTGCCAACAACTTCCGTATACCAATGACTTGATCTTGGCTTTCTTCTTGAAGTTCGATCATGGGAACATCCCAGTATCAGACCAACACTGATGTAATATGGGAAATGCCTATACCTTCTTCTTATCTCCCGTCTTACTCCATCCATTGCTAGTGCAGAAATAAACTATTATCAAGATTTACTACCGCTTTGCCTAAAGTCCGTATGAACGCATAGCAAATTGCTCACCCTAGCAAATTACACTCCCTATGTAAATTTACTCATGTATGCAAATTTGCACATGTGTATATTTTCGCCGTATAAACAAGCCTTAATACAACAGTGCGACAATTCTGATCAAGAAAATGACACAATGTGGAATGCACCCATCATAGGGTACATTTCTGTAGTGGCCAACAACCACCCCTTCCGCATCATTAGATATTTGAACAGAAATGCATACCATATCCTATTGATTAGTACATATGATCCAAAAGTTGAAAGTTTGAATAAACTTTGCTTTCCCTAACCACCTGACCCTGATGATGGGATCTGCATGTGGGAGCCCACAGCCAACAGCAGGGCTCCAGATAATTTTTCAACATCAAGAGTATGTACTCCTTATTTTTTCAATATAGGCGTGCTGTAGTGGTGGTCCGATTAATTGAAATAATCGAAGATTGGCTGCAGTGACTAAACGACCAAGCAATCAATCATGTTTTCTCATAATCGAACACAAACAATTCTGGAACACTTGTTTGCATTAACAATATTTTTCACAAAGTTGGTTTTGTCTGTTACATTTCATCACCACTACAAGCTCGTTCCAAGTCATGACTGAATTTATCTTAAAAAACTCCAAGCAATTAATGTTCCTAACCTACTAGTCATCCTTTAAGGATGTGAAATTTGCAAATGCATTTTGTGCAATTTGCAAAAACACCAAAGAACTACATGTTTTTTTCTTTATTATTTTGTCCACGAACAAAAATAATCAGGAAAATTTCATAAATGACGCTAACCAATTATTTTCGATGATTGATCGGTTGTAATGAGCCAATCATCAATTATGAGATTTTAACCAATTCCCAGCACTAGAGTGCTGGAAAAACTTAAAGAGTACATTTACAGCACTGAATGGAATTTAATGGTGTATCAGTAATCTTGTGTTTCGTTTCATATATGCACCACAACATTGTTACTCTTGGGTAAACAGGTCAATAAACAATAAAACAATACTTGTTCATATAAATACGTCTGATAATGATTCAAAGACTGTACACTATTGCTGTGGTGCGTATCTGCTACGGTTTCTTAATTATTTACTTCCGTATCGTGCATATTATTTATCCGTACATACGCCGATATGGCCCTTATCTGGAGCCCTGCAACAGCCTGACCTATAAAAGCATGTAACTAAAAACAGCCTCTAATGACTGATAGTCAATGCTTCGTGTTTAGGCTGCTATCTTTTTTAGGTTAGTGGCATGTTTTACAAATGTTGATACGATGATCGAGACAACCAACTTTCTGGTCTGAAGTGTCCAAAAAACCCACAACATAACCAAAAATAGTGTACCCTAGCGGTAAAATACCAACTTTTACATTATGTAGATTCTAATGGTACTGGTACATCACCAAAACATCTGTATCATGCGTGTGCAGTTCTGGTCACATACACTTTGGGTATTTTTTCCCGACGGTATTTGACAACAATAAAGGACAGAAAATTCTTCATGTTAAGTAACATAAGTGAACACAATCAATTATTCAAGTTTACTTTATGATATAAATCTACTACATTATTTCACGAATAACATGTGAAATTCTGAAATGCAGATAATTGTTACAGTTAGTTGTGAGAAAACACCTATTTGTACTGCCATGATTCCCTTCCGCCATGCTATATAAAAACATGTTTGCGGCAGTGAACGGGCTGGATTTTTTGTTTCATTAATTTTACGAAGTATGACAGAGTAATTTTGTAAATAGCGCTGAAATATGGTGATAGAAAAAAAACTGTTTGGCAGGCTTTTAGCAATATTCCAGTAATATCACGGCGGGGGACACATAGATGGGCTTCACACATTGTACCCATGTGGGGAATCGAACCTGGGTCTTCGGTGTGAAGAGCGAACGCTTAAACCACTAGGCTACCCCACCACCCCAAATTGTTCAAGGTGAGGTGAGGTGAAATTGGGTTTTACGTCGTGCTTGAGATTATATTTCGCTCATATGACGACGTGCAAGCATGTGTATGTGTATGTGCGGCTGCTTGTACTAGCCCAGACTTAAACTGGTTTTATAGTGCTAGCCCACTGAGATACCATGCCACAGTGAAGCATGAATACCCCACCCAGACACATTATCCTGACTCAGAGCCGACCAGTCCTTATTGTACCCATTAATGCCGAGCGCCAGACTGGGATCAACAAGTACCACATTTTAATATCTTTTGGTATGATGCGGTCGGGGATCGAACCCGCGAACTTCCACTCTCCAGGCGGACGCTATAACCACTACACCACGGAGGCGGTTGAATTGTTTAAGAACGTATGGTGCTTCCAAAAGTTTTTAAATGATTTTGATAGTTTGAAATATAGCTACAGTAGTTGGCCATAAGTGAGTCATCATTAGTGAAATTTCCATAGACTTACATGTTAATTAACTGTTGCAAGAATAATTTTCATAAATTGAGTAGAAGTCATTTTATTTTGATATTTTGCAAAAATCTTGGAAATCATCTTCAGCAACGTGTACATAATTTTCTTTCATCTTTCCGTTGATTAAGCACCATAAGTACAAGTTAATTTTAACCTATTCCATAGACAGACATGTTAAACCTGATTGGTATGTCTAATATATGTTGACGTTTATTGAATGGAAATTATGTGTATGTAGCTGAGATGATTTCCCAGCTGTCAGATAAGCATTGAAAGCAATTCGACCGAAATAAAATATATGACCCCCCCTAAACCCCAAGGAATAACATGCAAGTCTATGAGAATCTCACTAATGATGACTCACTTATGGCCAACTACTGTACACAGACAAGTCAACTTTACGACAGCAGACCTAACTCGGTGAAAATTTTGGTATCTTTTGAGAATAGTCAAAATATGTCACTAGGTGACGACATATGGTGACGTTGTGGCACCGAGAAGTCCGAGTGTGTCCATACCTATCTTAATGCCAGTATCTGAAAGACAGCGATCCCATTTACGTCCGAGTTCGTCCTCTGACCTTGAGTGTGAAGCCATGTTGATAAAGGACCGCGAGTCGACGAAGGGGTACCAGTCAAACCAGACAAGTGCCAAAACGGACTACAACTTTAGTTCAAAACGTCCAGAGCAAGCGCTCTGAGGCAATCAAACCAGTGTACAAAATGGTACAGTCAAAACGGACCATGAGTATCATTTATTACTGTGTACACCGTGAATATCTTTGACACATTGAATATTATTATATCAAACTTGCCATGTGTCATGTGTTTACGCGGATTGCCCAAACGTCGGAATGGGTGGGTGTCGGTGGGGGCTGTAGGTGAATTCGTAACCAAAACCGGTTCGTGGAAATCCGGTGGATTCGTAGACGGATTGAGCGGTGAATTCGTAGACGTTATTAAAATGGGAAAAGTTCATCCTCAATGATGAAGAAAATCGACGAAAAGTGTTTGCATTTTGTGAAATAAATAAAATATATCAGGTAAGTATGATCGGTGGTGAAAATATCCTTAAATAATAAAATAACAAAATATGCTTCACAGTGGTCCATGTCACAAATTCCGACAAATCATAGGCCGCTAATATATTAAATTCAGTTGTGTAAAATTAAAAGATATGTATTAGGTAAGTATCGTCATTCAACGTTCAACTACGCAGACCAGCAGAGAAGTAGCAGAAAACACTTATTAAGAAAACACTTACATCTCCCACACAGAGTATTTCGCAATCAAAACAACTCACCACTTCCTAATTAACATTCACAACAACTCAGTGAAACCTGTTAATCCTCCCACAACAATGAAACCAGTCGGCAATTATGATGAGTAGACTAATTTTGTTCACTACCCCCCTCCGTCTCCACCTTCTCCGACTCTTCCTCTGTCCCCGACCCTGCCTCTCTCCACCATCGTCGCCGAACCCTACATCACCTGCTGCTGAGGGAGGTGTCAAAACTAAATGGGCCAATGGTCACTGAGTGACTGTGATACTGTGTTACTACTTTGACACGTGCTGTTGTGAAAATTGTTGTTAAATATATTACATTATCACTCTTCCATAACAATGTTGTCTGTCTTTTTACATTTTACGACGCTTCATCTTTATTACACACACAGTAACAATATTTTCGTATCACTGAAAATAAAAAATACAACACAAACCCTATATATACAAATACATGTAAAACAAGTCTAGACAAGATACGGGAAAATATTCGTTCACCCTTCAATCACATTTTCTTGTGTCCTCAGCTGCCCTTAATTTCGTATCACTGAAAACAAAGCATACGGGAAAATATTCATTCACAATTTCCTTGAGTCTTTAGCTGCCCTTAGTTTCGTATCACTGAAAACAAAGCATAACAACTTCGTTATAAACATTCTAAGTAACATCTAAGTAAAAATCAAACTTAATATATACTATATATTCAATTATTTATACACGTCTACGAAATCACCGTCTACGAACCGGTCTGGGTTACGAATTCACCGCGTCTACGAACTGGTTTTGTCTACGAAATCACCGTCTCCCCCCCCGATATACCCTTCCCGCCTTTCATTCTGTGTGGTGTTATTTGTATATCCGATATACCCTTCCAGCCTTTCATTCTGTGGTGTTAGTTGTATATCCGAGATACTCTTCCCGCCTTTCATTCTGTTTGGTGTTAGTTATACATCCGATATACCCTTCCAGCCTTTCATTCTGTTTGGTGTTAGTTGTATATCCGACACAGCATAAATAACATGTTTTCCAGTTTTCCGGAAACCTACCTGAAACTGGGTAATGTGAGAATCATGTTGGAAACAGCCGGAAACCAACAAGGTTAGTTTCAGCGACTGGAAACTGCCGGAAACCAACAAAGTTAGTTCCCAGAAATGGAAACTTACAGTAAAGTATCATTGGTAGTTTCCATATCATTAAGTATCATTGGTAGTTTTACTCAATATATACCAGTATATACAGCATATATCCAGAAACTTACATTAACCTACGTTAAACTGTCTATGTATTACATGTTTATAGGTTTCAGTTTAGTGATCTCAGTGTTTCTGTACACCAGAATTCAAATAAAAGATATTGTCAAATGAAACAAGATTTATTTCAGGAAAAGTTAAACCTAATTGAAAGAATATGGAAACTACCAATGATACTTTGTCTGCTTTACGTTTTGTTACTTACGGATACCTTAAACTTATAAATTACTGAGGAACCGGTAAGGCTCCATTAGGTTTCAGTTACCCGTTGGCTTTCCGTTTGTAATGTTTCTCAAAGTGATGCATACTAATACAACTAACTGGGAGTGGTTATGCACATTACACATAACTGTACTAAAAAAGGACAATATTTTCGTAAATGTTCAATAAGGAACATACAGTAGACTTATAGACATAAAATATATTTAAGTTTAACTTCATCTGCCAGTAGTGAATACTGTTAGGATTGAAAGAAAATGAATTATAGCATTATCATTATTAATGCATTATTATATTTATAAGCAATCTGGAACCTCATACATTTATGAAATGACTGTAATTTCTAGATATGTTATAGAGTACCTAAAACATAAGGGAATCATATTTCACACACATTTGCCCTAAGCGTGACTTAGTACATGTGGTCTGTCTCGCCTAGAAGAACTTCACGGCGAAGAAATTGAAGTGGAATGATTTTGTTGAATGCTACAAGAAAAATACAAAACAATACAGATATCAAAACTTAAAAACAACTAACGTTATAACAAAACTAATGGGCTATTACCTTGTTCGAGAAATGTATCAATCAGTATCCACATAATGGAACGATATGCCATTCATCTGCAGCTGCCCCAAAACCTGTCCCATGTCACGTGACCGTGTTTCATTGGACACCAAAGATAATACACCTGACAATTTGTTACATAATGTCCACAATTCTTTTAAAAAATGACGGGTTGACGGTGCATGTTGTTTTAAGGATTAGCTTTCTGAACGGTATGTTCTCATTTCGCCTACATCCCATTTCGCCTACAGTCTCAAAACAACATGTCGTGGTCTGTTGACTGTTGATTACGCAATGGTGAACTAGTGGCACCCCTATGATCTAAAAATGGACTCTTCCATGAAGGACAAAAAGAATTTATTTATTTCTGTTACTTATCATTTTCTGATCACAATGAAATGATAATTTATTTATCTTATATAACATCGTATCATCACTTCTAGTTGAAGTAGTTGAAGGATTTATTTCTGTTATTTGTCTGTTACTTATTTATTCTGTTATTTGTCATTTTCCGATCACAATCGTGACATTGTCCATTCTCACTTCAACTTGATAAGGTGACCAGCTGCGTCGACGAATTGAAGGGGTGATCTTCTCCCAGAAGCAAGTTGCTCTCTAAGTCTGTCCAAGCGACTCTCCAGGTTTCGGTAGATTCTTGATTTGGGGCGGACAGCTGCTCCATGATCGATCTGTCTGCGTGCCAGTCTGTTCGCTGTTTCCAATTTCTTTATAGCAATGACGAATTCATATATGTTCGGGTGATGCTTTCTGACGAGTTTCTTGAAGCCGTTGTGAAAACCCTCCAAATGATTGTTGGTTCTGGGTCCTGTGTTTTCATCCAGATACGAGGCGGGAATCTTGCGTCGTAGTCTACCCATGTAGAGGTCATGTAGTCGTTGAAGGCAGCAATACCCTCAACAACTGGAGACGCAGTCAATGTATCCATCCACGCATCATGGACCTGATCCACCGGGAGGAGGGGAAGAGAAGCAGCACGTCGCACATGGGAGTTGAAAGTTGGATTGTTCCTGTAGACGTTGACTCAAACTCAAACTCAAACTCTTTATTCTCTATAAACCGCCTTACGGCGGTACATGAGATAAACGTATATACATTTACATCATATATCACAAGACAGCAGCTTACACGATAGAAAGATATAAGATAATTACAATATTTCATTTTTTTAAATGCATTAAATACATTGTTCAGTAATTTAGAAAGGCCTTTAAGGTCGCTTATGCTGGTAGTAGACAAGAGTTTCTTAAAGATGGACAAATTTGGAAATTCTAGGTATTTAGTGTTCAGAGACTGACGTCGGAATTGGAGAAAAGCTTCACATCTAAACAAGTAGTGAAACTCGTCTCCAACAGCGTTTGATTCACAAAGTGGACATTGTCTGTCTTCACGTGGAATGCCCAACCATCGGCCTGTCTCAATTGGTAATTTATGGTTAGATGTTCTAAACTTCAAAATTGGGTAGTATATATTTTTGGGAAGAAGAAGATATTTTTCTAAGATTGGTTGAGTTTTGAAATATTTATAATAATCCCCCTTGGAACTAGAATCAACATTTGACTTCCAATTTTGGAAAAACTGGGCTCTATAGGTGTTTTCGACCATTGAGACAAGCCAGGGCGTAGAACATACAGACGGATTTAGAAACACGTAGGATAGACCGCAGTTATCAAGGATATATTTCACAAAACGTAGCCATGGAACTTTATTTGTATTGTCACAGATGTGGTTAACACAGTTATATATAATCTGGGATGGCTTCCAATATGTGTTCTCAGAGGCTAATTTATGCCAATGTGAAATAAATCGCTTATAGATTTTAATACTCAAAGGCTCTCTTCCAAATTCACCGTAAAGCATATAACTTGGGGTGCTATTTCTCAAACCGGAAGCTAATTTCAGAAATTTTAAGTGAATTCTTTCTATTATTTCTAAGTTCTCGTGTCCCCATATTTCTGAGCCATACAATAGAATTGGAACGACCATAACATCAAATGCATCGAAAAGGCAATCTAAAGGTAAATTAACATTCCTGGATTTCTTTAAAAGACAATACATTGCTTTGGTGGCGCTTTCCGTAAGTGATTTAATTGCTTGGACAAATCGCCCATTTCTATGGAATTTAATTCCAAGGTAATCGTATGTATCTACAATATTTATAGTTTCAGTTCCGTAGGTAAAGTGGAGTTTCGAAGATTTCGCGGGGCCGCTTCCAAAGATAACAACTTTCGTTTTAGATAAGTTTACTTTAAGTTTCCATTTCTTACAGTAATGAAAGAAGACATTCAGGGATTTTTGTAAATCATTTGGATTTTCGCTGAACAGTACAGCGTCATCTG